TCTTACCAGGGTGCGCTTACGTTTTGGGAAGCAGGCTGTAAACTCCTTTTAGGAATCTCTGGTTTTTTTAACTACAATTTCTTTGGGGAGAGTTGGGGGAGCCGAGCCGTGCCCTACGTCGGTGTGGTTTGCGGGGTGTGCTCGTTAAAAGTCAGACGAGGGCCCGGGTTAGTGAGTTACTTTATCCCGGGGAGTCTGCCAGTTTAAAATTGCTCGTTTGTAAATGCTGAAAATCTGGAAGAAAAAAAAATAGTTGGGTGTCGTTTCAAAACTGGCCCTTTTTAAAACCCATCAATGTCTCTTCAATATTTTTAATTCACTAATGTCAACTTGATAAGGAGACTGATATTCTTTTATTATCTAGAGTGAGGGAAATGCCAGACAGTACTTGTACAACATTAGAGTGAATGACACCTCGTTTTCCCCTGAACGATTGTATTAGTAGTGGTAGAAAGATGATTTTTTAAGACATCTCATTTGCAAAGTCAGTGTCCAGTTTTATTTTCACGCTATTATAAAATGAGCAGTAGTCTTTGACGTGTGTGGTGTCTTGGAGTTCAAGTCACTGGACTTGCATGGTTGCAAAACTCACTATTTTTAGTTATTGAATATCTTAAAGCGCCTTTCCCCAAAGGATTCGATTCTTATGCCAACAATATTCACTCTGAAAAACAGAATCTGAGATGATGTGTGTATTCCATTCGTAGCTTTGCTTAAATTGCTGATGTTGCTAATCAGATGGCAGCAGCTTTCCCTGGTTTGTAACAAGGAATGAGCATGAACTGATGGTGTTTGGTCTAAATTCCCCTGTGCCAGCGGTGGATATCCTGAACTGCTTAGTCCCCTTATCAGGTTGGCAGTTTCTGCTTGGTACGAGACGTTGTTTCAGGCTTTGCCTGGTTATTAGTGTTGACTCGTTAATACTCTTTTTTTACTGCAGTTAAAAACCTGAAGTAAACAGGAGGGAAAAAGTGGCAATGCCTTCCGATGTGTCAGAATACACTATTGGGGGAGTGAAGATCATATTCCCTTGCAAGGCTTACCCTTCACAGCTTGCTATGATGAATGCTGTAAGTAGCATTTATATTAGCATTTGCTATACTATTAGCTTGTGTTTTCCAGTAGCTCTCTGCATTTAGAAAACTAACGTATTAAATTCAGAGCCTCCGAAACCTTGAGAATTTCTGTTGTAACATAACTTACTGTTCTCTGTGCTGCACAATGATATTTGGCTCATGACTAGGGGATGAAGGAGTGCATTCTGGATTACTGAGCATGTGTGTTAGGAAGCAAGCTATATGTTATGCTTATTTAAATATACTGTAAAAATTTTGTATAGTTTTGCATGTATATGAGAAGTGACTGACTTAGCAAAACATCCATCTTTTAAACAGAATGTAATATTTCAGTAAATTTTCACTGTTTGCAAGTTCTTAAAAATGAATAATTACACTTTGCATGTAAACAATTTTCAACAGTTTTAACCATTTCTGAACGCTTTTTCTCTGTGGGACAAATGGCTTGCTTGCCTGACAGATGTTTTCAATGATTTTTAAGACTAAAGCAAGCCAGTTATGCAGTTAGCAGGAAGGTATTTCACAGCCCTCGAAGTGAACCTCTGAGCACTGCTGATGAGGCACATTCACCCTGAGGGAAATACGGCTGAGGCTTGGTGACCCGTTGTTATTTTTAGAGGTGGTTTGTTTGGCTGCTTTTTTGTTATTTTTTTTTTTTTTTAATCAAGACAGCAGGGGTCCTAATCTATTTTAGAAGTTATTTCTAGCATTGCTTCAGACATCCCCTTTGATTTTCTTCTGTTAATGCCTTTTTTGTTTCTCCTACTCCTTCAAGATTGTTAAGGGCTTAAATAACAGGCAACACTGTTTGTTGGAGAGTCCTACAGGAAGTGGCAAAAGCTTGGCGTTACTGTGTTCTGCGTTATCATGGCAGCAGGCTCTGTATGGTAAGTTATTTTAGTGTCTGTTTGTCCCATTTTTATTACCAAAATGGGTTATAATGAATTGTTGTTTTTTATGAGCCTCTAAACATTTGGGTTCAGGAGTCTAACCAGATGTTTGCCCACTATTGCTTCATTGGCAACATAAACCAGTAATGGTTGGTCATACTAAGCTGGATTCAGATATCTGTTATCATAAGGGAATTATATGGCTGTTGGAACATTGAAAGAAAAGACTTGTGGATTGTAGTGATGCAGATTGAATTGAAAAAGGGTGTATTTTCTGTTTCTTCAATTTACGACAATCCTCTGCACTGCCGTCCTTCGAAGGGCAGCGGTACGTTCCTCAGGCTTTGTAGAGACACAAAGCTTATTCCTGGTACCTAAACCAAAGCTTTCTTTCATCCTAACTGTTCTGGAAGTCTAGTTCTCCTGTGTAGCCTGGAGTAGTTTTTAATGGAAGACAAATGACTGTGTTTTTTAGAGAAATCAGTGCTTACCTCATCATGTGAAAAGAAAGACAGAAAGCCAGAGACCTCGCCACCCTGTCGCTGCACGTGTCACTCCCAATCCAAGAGCGAAGAGGCTGCAACAGGTGTGACTCCTGGTGCTGCTTCTTCTTCTGTTATTAATTGTGAAGCAGGAAGTTCTGTGAAACCTGGAAGCCCTCTGACAAACACAGGTAACTTTATGCATAGGCAGGTAAAAATCTGTTCTGGAAGTAAAGTAGGTAGCCAATGGTTTGTGTTTTTCTTTATTTTCTAGGACTGTTTTTACCATCAAAATAGCAGAGTACTACAGGGTTCTGCCCTGCATGGAAATCTGGACAAAAATGGCTAATCGGTCTAGAAATGTCTAATGCTGTTTCCTGCATCATATGTATTTTTAGTAAACTATTTTTTAAATGTTGCCCATATTTAATTCAGTCCTAGTAGTGGACATACCTTTTATTTTGTTTTTAATTACAGAATGTAAGGAAAATGAAACGCTAGCTTCGAAACTGTCTGCCAAAAAAAAGTTGTCTCTATGTGATGGTGAGAATGGTGATTTTCGAGTAGACAGGAAAAGGATTCGGCCTCTAGAAACTGAGCAGCAGGTAAGCAAATCTTATTGGCAGTAAAATAATCCAGGTGTTGCTCAACAAAGCCATCCAATACCAATCAGCATTTCGGAGGACAGAGAATAGTGGAGTCATGTCGTAGATCGACAGGTTTTTGTTCATTTGTATTGTTACTTGTTATAAAGGAGTCCATTGTTGCACTGAATTGTTCATAATACCTTGTCCTAAGTTGTATCTTGCATATTGGAACACCTAAGATCCCCAAAACACATTTATCAGAGTCTGCCTTCAGCAACAGAATCTGTAGTATTGGGTCAAAGTGTGAGATTGTAGAGGTCAAAGTATCTGGCAAATATGTATCAGAAATACAAATAATGCTGTGAGTGTGTTAGAGTTAGGGAAATTCCAGAAGAGCAGCTCCGCAGTGATTACAGATTTTTGTTGTTGTTACTTTATAGCTTGTTCCCAGTTACAGATTTTTATTGTCGTTACTTTATAGCTTTCCCCAATTACTTTTGTGTGGCTTAGATCTGGTTAAACTGGTAAGAGGTGTTAGTGATGCACTGTGTTCCTGAAACAGACTCGGTGGAAAGCAGCTGAAACAAACCCACTGCCTGCCAGCGTGAGCACGTGCCTCTGTCCCGCGTATTTGAACACAGTCCTTTATTTCCCCGGCAGGTTCGAAAACGTCCTTGTTTTGCGAAAGGGGTGCAGCTGGTTGATGCCTTAGAAGTTTATCATCAGAGAAAAAACGGAGAGCTGATTGTTCACTCTGAAAAAAGTGTGAAACTCACTACATTTTCTCCTAAAACAGTAAGTAGTGTAGTAATAGCTTTTACAGCAGGATTGTTAGTTCAAGAACAATTTAAAAAAAAATGAAAAAAATAACTGTAAAGATATTATCCTTGAAATGCATCTCATTAATCGAGTTTCAGAAAACACCGTGCTTCTGGCTGCACTACAGCCTAACGTAAATGTTTCCAAGTGTGTAAGTTGCTTTAAAGTACTGTATCGTCACTGTCAATAGTGAGAACTGCGGTGGCTTTTACTCCAAGTGGCGCTGCCTAACCAGTGTAGTTTGCAAGGTGTAAATTACTCCTGTGAAAGCTATGCCAGCAGCACAGAGTCTGGCTCTGCGATGCAGCCTGCAAACTTTCAATATGTGACAGCAGTTGTAGAGCAGATGTAAATTTGGGTGTTACATGCCAGTTTGTAGTAGATTTATGATGTCACGGAAGAACTTTAAACTAGCACCATGGAAATTAAGTGGCATCAGAGTCTGTAGCTTTTGTTCAACTTGCCATTTGTTGTTTTGTGGCATATGTGGTAAAGAAAAGACAGCATTGTGCCCTTTAGACCTCAAAAAAGTAGTATGGAGGATGAAGCTGATCTTTATGATATATTGCACAGTTTTTATTAAAATGTATATTGCACACAATTGAGAAGAAAAATTCTGGGTGTTACTGTAATAGATTTACTTTTGGGGTTTGTTTTGGTTTGGTTTGTTTATTTTTAAATTGCCACTTTCTGTTGCAGAAACGTCACATTAAGCAGTGAGATACGGATATGGAGCTGTTTCTGCAGCTTTCTGCCAGGCATTTTCTGCATTTCTTTGTGTTTAAATCTTATTGATTTTACATACAAATTTGTTGAAGCAAAACCAGTAGAAGAAAGGTGAGGCAGTAGAGAGTTGAATGTCAGATGCCAAATTAAATTAGCGATGGAGTTCTCATGAGCGCTTGTCAAAAGCTGTAACAGAAGAGTTCTTGTCAAGAATAAAATATAGGAGCATGCCATGAAATCGGAAAATTGTATGTTTAAAACAAATATAAGAAAGGAATGAGGTCTGGCCTTTATTTCTTCAGTACAGAAATCTATGTTCTTTCAAAAGGCAAAGAACATTCTCCATTTTCAGTGTATTTTTTTAATATTGTTTATGGTAGTACCCATCTGTTAGTAACTCAGCTTCTGAGTACAGGCGTGAGGGGTTTTTGCATGTTTAGAAATATGTTTGGTTTCAACAAGTGTTTCAATTCTTCTTCCACCCATTCCAACAGCATTTGGCTTTCTGTACGTCCTAAATTAGTTTCTGTTTTAATAAGACACTGGGAGCCAAATCTTTTCTTGATGCGAGTCAATGTTCTAGATCATTTGATGGGAAGTAATTTTTATTGGTTTTGGAAAGCTCCATAGATGTTTGGGTAGGATTTGAAATGCTTTGTGCCACTGAACTTCAGTGGGTAATTTGAAATACAAAGGCCAGCAGAGTGTGCTGTTGATTTTCACGTAAAAAGATCTTTCTTCTTTCCTCAATTGCAAAATTTGCTTTGGTGCTTTGGTGTGGGTATCTGAGAAACCTGATTTACAACTTCTGGAAATTTTGTGTAGTGAAGAAAACTGAAAACTTTTTATATAGAGCAACTAATTGTTCAATAATAACAAGCTGAATCATAGTCTGATTTTCTAAGAAAACACTTCATTTGTGTAACAGTAGTGTGTTATAATGTGTTACCATAGATCTGATTTTACAGATAGATAGTACAGTATACTATTCAAAGTTTAAACACTATATTGTTTACTGTGTCTTTAGAAAGACGTAACATAGGAAGAAATAAAAATGTTACTGTTAAAGTGTCTTTTTAAGAATGAAAAGAGTGTTTATTTCTTTGTTTAAAATAAAAAGAAGTTCTTTTTCAAGAATGAAAGGATAAGGTATTATTTTCCTGTGATGAACTTTTACATTAGCAGACTGAGAACTTGTTTGGTATCAAGAAACAATTGCAGAAAGTAAGGCTTATTTATCATTAGTGTTTATGTGGCTTAACTACATTAAGTTTAAGACTTAGATGTAAAAATGCTTTTCTAGTCTAGCTTAGGAAATAAAGTCAGCTGAGGTTATGTTCAACACTTACAATGGACTCTGTATTTAGGATGATACAATAATGCAAAAAAATGTATTAGTTATTGAAATAACACTGCCTTTGTATAACTTGTGTTTTACTGTAGGCAATTCTGTGCTTAAAACAAGTTTAGTTTCATGTCAAGTCCTTTTTATAGCCCAAGAAAGCGAACGGGTTGGTTGTGGTACGAGCATGAGGTACTGCCCGGCGTTGCTGCCCCGGGAGAACACCTGTAGATCTGTGGGTGAGGATCCTCTGCCCAAGGTGACTGCCTGTGCTTCTCTGTGTTCTGTCCAGAGCCTGGGAACGGATTTCTGTCCTTCTGCTGTTAATTCTTGCAGGAGAGGACAGTTCGAGTGTGGGTTTAGATGAGAAATTATACCCTTACGGTACTCTCTTGATTACTTCTGTCAAAGCATACGGTCTGAGAAACTGGGGCAGCTGGATTAAGGAATCCCCATTTATACTGGGTAAAAAAAGTAAACAGTAAATGGGGAGTAGTGTAACAAACACTCGGGGTATCAAAAAACAGCTGTGAAAAGAATCTATCTTAATGTGCTAGCCCATTGCAGTTTAACATATTGCTTACAACCTGCACAATGGAGTTTGAGTGACTTCTGTTACACATTCCAGGAGACTGGCAGCCTGTTACAATCAGGGTCTGGACTCCAGAATGGGCTAATTTACCACGATGGGATGAAGAAAGTTGTGGATTTGTATTACACGCTCTCACCTGACACCGTATCTGATCCTTTTTCTGCTGATTGACATTTTGAATGAGCTCTTTGAAGCAAGTTCCAGCTTAATTAAAACGTTTGCTTGGCTAGCAGTGATCTGTGAAAGCCTGTGATAAATATTGAACCGGGTTCACCTGCTGGTTACTGTGAGGGGATAAACAGCTGCTTTGTGTGCTTTAATCAAGAAGCTGCAGCAGCAGCAGAATGCTGGGCTTTTGGAGAGCTTATAAAGGGAGAGTTGAAAAGCTCTGGTAATGTCACTGCTGATATCTTACTAGATTGTGCTTGTGTGATATTTCACACAAGAGGTATTCACCGCTGTATCATTTAGGTGGCTTTGTAACCGGGAAATGTAGATGAAGATATGAAGAACTCCTCTTACCTCTTTGTGTTTCAAAGATCATAGCCTCAGTGTTTGTTTAGCTCCTTTTTATGCGTAGGACAGGTTGGCGGACTTGATTATTCCTTTCAAATCGGTCTTCCACGTTTTTTGCCATATAAATATTGATGTGATAGGCTGTTTTATCTGCTCCCTGACAGAAGTAAAAACAAGCTGGATTAGCCTGAGGTCCATATAATCTGGTATCTGATCTCTAACAGGTTCTGTTGCTGGATGTTTCTGATTAAGTACCGCAGAAAGGAGTGGAGGATCTTTTTTTCTCCCTCTCCCAAATGAGAATCTATCCCAGATTCAAACAGCTGAGAACAGGTTTAGTTCTGAAGCCAGAGGATATGATGAAATAGTTTTCTTTTGCCTTAATATCAATGACTTCCACTCAGCCCTCCTGCCCCTAATTCCTTCATAAATCAATTGAGATATTTCCTATTTTTATCATAGTTTATCCAGTATCTGTGTTACGAGTCTTAAATTTGTATTTTGAGGCAACGCTGCTATGGAAACTGCCCTACTGGAGTTAGCACTTAATTCAGCTGGAGAGCATTCTCTTTCCTTTGGCTTTCCTTTACTACTTTTGCTGTGGTAATGGGGCATTAACAGCACCTTAGGTTTCCCTATGCGATATCGACAGTAAATTCTTTTTGTAGAAATACAGAATTAAAATAATTTGGTTTAAATAAGAATTAAAGATGGCCAAATGCTTTTCTAAAGGATAACAAAGAATGGAAGTGTAGTTTGACACAACTGAATAATGTGCAAATAACGCAAAGAACTTGACTTTTAAACTATGTTCTAACCATTTTCTTGAAGTTTCTCTTCATTATAAAGATCTTCTAAAAAGGTTTTATTTATTTATGTGTGTTGGGCTGATGGTGTCTGTGGCTTTCAGAAATGTTATGACTACTGCAGGCAGTTTTATAGTTTTACTACTTACTAAAAAAAAATGAGTCTGAGTTTACCGCTTCCTCAGTGTTGATTTTTTTATTTTAAAAAACAAAACAAAAACTTTTCAAAGTTAAAGGTAACAAATTAAAGCCAATTTCAAACCTTTTTAAGAAAAACTCTGTATACATAAGAACACTTTTAATTCTTTCCATAAAAAAGACATATATCATTTTTTAATACCGTCATACAAGAACCTTCTGTTCGCGTTTATGTATACGTTTATTTGAACCGCATTTTCCTGTTGTGAGAACAACTTTTGCAAAATAGCTGCCTGATTGGTCATAATTTTTTTTCTATTACTTTTATTTGACAAACTAAATGTGAGGCTTAGCATTAGCGATGGAGCATTAGTGATACAGTATCAGCTTGGGAATCTTCTGTGGACTCCTTTCACCTCTGAAAAAACAACTGGACTTAAAAAATAAACATGTTCTTAAAGGCCTTCCGCAGTAACTGCAGCAGTCATCTTAATTGTTAGCACAGTAATGTGGTTTTTGTTATTTCAAAGAGCAAAATAGAATATAGATGATAAAAAATCAAGGTACAATTTGCATTGCAGCTCTCTGGGTGAGTACAAGCAGAGCTGAGCGTTGCCACGTATGTAACATATACCATGTGTCAGCTGTTTCCTGCTTCGCTGTTGACAAGAGCCCCATTCATAACTCTTCTTTTTATCCTTTCAGTGAATAAGTAATTATTCAATATAGAAGGCAGGATATTTGGAACTGGCTATTTAATGTGGCAGCGCACCGTAATGAAATCTGCTGTTACTGGCAACCTGAGAGGGGAATGTAACAATTCCAGCATGGGTGTAACTTTATCTGCTTTGAGGGCCTGTTTATTTGGCACATCAGGGAACCTTTTATCCCAGTGAGTGACAGCTCCAGCAGGGTTACATTTACATGCCTCCTCTCGCGTATTGTCATATTTAATGGCGGACAAGGCTGAGCGGGACCGAGGGTAACACGAACTCGCTTTTCCTCAGAGTGGAGGCTAAAAGACAGCTTGATCCCCAGAACTGTGGTGTAACACACGGCATGACTTAGCATTTGTTTATAATGGATAATCTTACTGATCACAATTAAGGGGAGGGAGGAGCAGCTGAGTGGGCAGCTATGCGTTGTTACTTGTGCTATCACTTGAAAAACAAATACTCTTTTACACTGGAACAATTTGTTATTTTTTATGAGAGGTGTGTGTGGGCGTGGTTACTCATGAGTTATTTGTTTTGCAATTATTGCAATTTCATTACAGTTGTTCCAGTATTTTATATGATGAAAGATGGTGCTTCTCAGGAAGAAAAGAAATGGCTTTTAACAAATATCTGGGAGAATTAGGTTCTGTTTAGAATTAATCCCTATGTGTCTTCTGTTCTCATAGCTACTGGATGGCCTTTGACATAATGGCATGGCAAATGTTTCTGATGGAGAGTATATGATGTAGTCTGTTTTATGTGCAAACAGATTTCATTAAACTGTAGATTCCTTCTGCCTCCTTTAAGGAAAAATGTTCTTGGTATTTTAATTTAGGTGTCTAGTCTCAAGGTTCTGGATGCTTCTTGCGCTGTAACAGAAGTGTCCTCATGCTGAAACTTATATGTGAAAAGTTCATTTGCATTACTCACACATGTGGACACTCCAGCAAAACTGGATTATGATGAAGTTGTATCTAGTGATTGCTCCAAGTTTCTTAAGATTTTCAGGCGTGAGGATGTGGTGTGCAGGCTTTATCATTTTTAAACTTTTTACAGTCTGATAGGCCAACCTGGTGATTTAACAGGCTCCGCTGAACTATCCTAGAGGACTTTTTCTAAGTAGACCATAAGCAGATTTAACATGTTCATCTTAGGGTAGGATTTTGTTAATCTTTTTTTTGTCCTTGGTTGCAGTCTTCTGGCCCTTGCACTGAGTGTTCCTGCTCATCTGGAAAAGAAGCGGATAAAGATGCTGGTAACACAAAGAAGAAAGAAAATGGAGATAAGTTATTTGTTCCCAAAATATTTTTTGGAACACGAACACACAAGCAAATATCGCAGATTACCAGGGAGCTGAAGAGAACAGCGTATTCCGGTGTCCCTATGACAATTCTTTCCAGCCGGGATTATACCTGTATTCATCCGATGGTATCCAGTAGTAGCAGCAGGAACGAAATGTGTGTGGAACTGCTGGAAGGAAAACACGTGAGTAACTTTGTTTCAGAAACTGAGCGCTCGTTTCAGCATATTAAAGTGGAAGGTAGTTGAATGAGTAACATTTTGTACTTCTTTACACTGTGCTACTTAAATGCCCCTTGGTAGTTTGGTTTAAATGAAATATTCATTCTTAGAAAATGTTAAATGTGGTATCAGTACTGAAAGAAATTGTGATGATAGGAATAATGTTTTTGACTGTTAGGTTCATGTTCTCAGTAAGACTTATACTGTCTTTGGTTTTATAGATGAATAAGAAGAAGTGTCCTTTATTGATGTGCATTTTAGGAACCTGGCTTTGTCTGTCTTCTTACTGACGTGATACGTTTTCCATTATGGTCTGACATAAAAAGTAGCTGTTAGAAATGTTTCCAGGAAATAAAGTGAAATGCATGTGACATCTTGGGGGATTTAAGGTTAGTTGTTTCTCATGATTTTTTGTAACCACTAACTATCTGCCCTTACTTGCTTTTAGGGCAAGTCCTGTCTTTACTATCATGCTGTTCATAAACTCGATGAACACCATACCCTACAGTCTGCACATGGGATGTATCAGGCTTGGGACATTGAAGATCTAGTGAGGCTGGGAAAGAAGCTTCGTGCCTGTCCATATTTTGCAGCCAGAGAATTAATGGTGGGCGCAGATATTGTGTTTTGTCCTTACAATTATCTCCTCGACCCACAGATACGGGAGAGCGTAAGTATATTTCTAAGAAAGAGATTGCAATAACTGAAGTTAAAAGGAAGTTAAAAACATAGTGTTCAGTGGCTACAGTCAACTGAAATCCAATTTTTATCCATAATATTACCTATAAAATAACTTCTGGTTTACAGATTTTTTTCCCCTCTCTCTTTTTTTTTTTTTAAAAAAAAAAAAGCTGAAAACTTCTTGTTGCTTCCACTGTGATGCAGAATCTACACTTTTTTTAACAAGATCCTGTTAGTTGCTGCTTCTTGTTAACATCCTTTGCTCTATTTTACTAGATAATTAAAAATTATTTTTTTTAGATGGAAATTAACCTAAAAGGCCAGGTAGTCATTTTAGATGAAGCCCATAATATTGAGGACTGCGCTCGTGAGTCAGTGAGCTACAGTGTTACAGAAAGTCAACTAAGAGCTGCTCGCGAAGAACTCGATTCCATGGTCAACAGCAACATCAGACAGAAGGATCATGAGCCCCTACGAGCTGTGTGCTGCTCTTTGACAAAGTAAGGCAACTCTTTTTAATTCCATTATATCAGTTTTTGGGGTTTTTTAAATTACATTTAAATTCCTTCTGTTGGTGCAATTTACTGGTTACTGTGTTGCATGGGATAAAATTCTGGAGACAGAATTGAAAGGGGAGGACGTGAGCAGAAGCTGAAAATCATGAGTAGGGAAGCTAATGGACTGGGGACAGAGGCTGAGGAAGGAGGAGAAGAAAGAAGATTCAAGAGCAAAAGGATTTTGGGTGAAATGGGAATGTGGGAAAGTTGAAATAATGTCAGAAGCATCTGTCACTACTAGAGAATTTGGAATTCAACTCTGCAGCCTTCATTTTTGGAACTCTGGGATTCAGGGACTGAGAGTTCAGAAGTGCACTGCTAATGAAACCTTGAGCAACGAAGTCAGCGGCATAAAAGTGAATAATGATACAGCTGGCTTTAAAGTTAGCTGGACTCTGATTCAGTGCGTGTCAGATCATCGTTTGGTTGCATTCGTGCTTGGTGCAATACACTTGGAAGTCACTACAGCAAGTAGTTCATTTTTCCTAGCCTGTTTCTATTCGGACAAGTGAGTTTTGTTTTTCTTTTCTGAAGAAGCTAATTCCCCTACCGTGGATATTTCAAATGTTAAATTTTAGTAAAAGATGAGAACAACATGGCTGGAGATTTGATTGCCTCAAGCTTTTTAACCTTATCAGAAAAACTAAGGTTGATTGTCATGGCAAATCTGCCAACAGCATGAAAAGTGGTTGTTGGAAAGCAGAAGACTGGGTGTAAATGGCCAGTAATTGGTAAAATGCTGTTGCATAGTGGCATGGCTTTGCCAAATGCATGGGTAATTAGAAAAAAATCTTATTTCAGCTATAAAGATCCTGGGTCCTCGTTTCAGAAAGCACTTAGGCATGGGCTTAGTGCCACAGAGGTGCTAAAATGACCTTTCTGAGGAATTTGAAGATATAGTGATAGAGGTATGCTGGCGAGGGTTTCTGATGAGGTGCAGATTTACCAGGACAAGCGACGTCGTTCGATGGAGTAAACTGCATCAACAATGGGATTTTCTGGAAGGGAGAGAAGGAGCAAATACACTTTCTGGAATTGAAGGCGTGTTTGTAGCTTGTTAAGTCTTTTCTGGCAAATATTGCATACACCAATTTTCACCTTAAAACCATAGATACTTTCCGGGAATCAATGTAATTTTATTTATGCTTACTGCTTTACTCTAAAAATGAATTAACAGGTATTTCAAGTAAATGCTTTAAAATTACATTTAGTTGGATTGATATTCTAGGATTTACCTTTTTGTTTTATTTTAGTATTGGGAAGTTTGTGTTAAGTTTGTATTTACTTTTATTGCATGACCATTTCAAAAGTATGTGGTGGTGGTTGAAGTTCACGACAAGGAAACAGTTTTACATTTCCTGAAATGTTTTATCTGTTGTAAATCTGTTTGATTTCTGTCATAGTGGCCTTTCCCTAATTTGAGGTCCAGGTCTTTTTGATGTTACGTTTGACGTGGGGCAGCGAGCTACACTGGTGAAGTTCTGCCTGTGTTAGTGATCGTCGTTCCCTAATACGATAAACTAAAACCAAGGAAGTGATTGTCATGGTTATATTTATGGGATTTTGGGTGCATTTAACCCAGCAAAATGAAAGTTGTTTTTTTTTCAGTTGTTCCATTGATCAGATTATTTGCAGTGACAGTGCAGGAAATCTGGAACTGAAACGGTCACTAAGCCTTGTTGCTTTACTTGATAGTGATTAACTGGTTTTACAGATCAATATTTTGGACGATTGTGGAAATGACAGCTGTCTTTCTGATGCCTCCTGCTGGTTGACGGAACAGACAGCTTCGGCATTTCCTGCGAGGGAGGAAGCTTGCCTGCTTGTCTAGACAGAGGGAAGGTCTTCTAAAACTGCAGGGATGATGAAGGACACGTTCGGTTAGAGATGACTTTAGCTCTGCCATAAACGAGACAGCCTGCATGTTCCGATCATGTTTTCACAAAGTCCTATCGCATTTTGTGTTGCCAGGACAATTAAAATTCTATGTAATTTTCGAATTGTAGCAAAGTTACAAATACCTGTAGGTAGGTTAAAATATGCACTTTTTATCACCTTACCTTTCCCTAATGTGTATAAATATTAGAAGTACTCGCGTGCCCGAAGATTCTTAATAAGAACGCATGTGATTAACAGAGATAACAAGCCAGCTTGCATCAGAGTAACAGTGATAGGCTTTAAAAGTACAGCAGAAATCTTCCTTAAATGAGCCTGATGTGTTATACTGTAAGATGAGATTCTATTTTAATCCTCTTTCTTTATTATAAAGCTATGATAAAATTTTTCTCTCGCTTCAGTGAGTTGCATCGAGCAATTCCGTAGAAGTGAGTTCAACGGTGAAAAACTGGCATAAGGAAAAGCAAAATCTGTCTATAAAAGTATTTATCATCGTCATAGAAGTCTGGTGCAATTCTTGAGGTTTGGGGTGTACCTGCAAAGTATCTTTAAAATTAATGCTGAAATTATTTCTTATTTCTCTTGTTTTCCAGCTGGCTACATGAGAGCTCCAGTCAACTAGTAGAAAGAGGGTATGAAAGTTCCTGTAAGGTTTGGAGCGGAAAAGAAATGCTCGAGATTTTACACAACATGGGAATAACTGTTATTACTTTTCCCATTTTACAGGTAATGTTATATGCTGTATAAGTGAGTACCAAAGTGCATAATATTGATGATGTTAAACAACTTAAAATGTACGTAAGTTAAATGCTAACAGGTCTTTTACTACATTGCAATACTGAAAAGCTGTGTGAAAATGATACCTGGTGAAAACCAGGAGTAATCCACTTGAGCTACTGGAATTTGTGAAAAATCAATGTATTAAAGGATATAATTGATTGTGTACAATTATTTAGATTGAACCATTCAATCAGTGCAAGTTTTGTCTGTTCCATCCATCTGCATTTTTATTGACTGTGAAATGTATTTACCCTATTTTCAAGTTTATCTCTTCTTTCTGTGTAAGCCAAATATGTTAAAAGTGTTGCTACTTTCCAGTTCGGTCCTCAGCCTGCCTTGACAGGTATCCTAGGAGAACTTTGAAAGCGGTGTGCTGATCGGCTTGTGTCTCTGTTAGCTTTGGTTTTGAGAAGATACTTAAAATGTTGTTCATGTGGAAGTCGTTTTGCTTCTTGTAGAAACATCTTGCTACTGTCCTGGAAAAAGAAGAAAAAATATCGGTGCTTGGTAGAGAGGAACTTGTTACGATCCCGATTGTGAGCCCTGCCACTCAGATGATGCTGAAAGGGTTATTCATGGTTCTGTGGTGTCTTTTTAAAGATAACAGCAGGTCAGTGCAGTTACACAGCCCGAGCCGTGTGGTGGTGCTGAGCTCAGCTGCTTTGCCCAACTGCCTCAGTTACTCTGTCTGGCTTCTGAGCAAAACTAATATTTCGGAAAGCTCTGGAAAAATCTTTATGTGGAAAGGATTTAAATACTACCAAATTATCTTTTTCATTTGTAAATGAATTCAAATATTGAAGAAATTATTTGAAAATTTGGTGTTAATTTTCTTGATGTGTTGCCAAGTTAAGTATATGTGGGGTTTGTTTTTCTGCAAAGCACTTGTCATTTGGCTGTCTTGATATCTTGATTACTAGTGCCAGCAGTTACTAAAAATTTCTAATTTAAACCTTATTTTTAAATATTAATTATTGTAAAGTTTCACTGTTTTTTCAAAAAGTATAAAACTTTTTGTACTCCAGTTGTAAATGCATTGTAGCCACATGGTCTTCGCTGTGTGTGGGCTTAATGCTTACAGTTTGGTTGCTGAATTGTAGTTTTTATTGATATTTCTATATGTCTATATAGGTTTGCAGAAGATTACAGAGTTGCTCTACAACAAACTTACGCTTGGATGAATGAAAACCAGCCTGATGTTTCAGATACAAGTGCTTTTTTTACACAGCCCAAGCGTAAAAGAAATTTGCGGCAGAAAACAGCAGTCCACGTGCTTAATTTCTGGTGCTTGAATCCTGCTGTGGTAAGCTGGGTCTGAAGTAGGCGACCTTAAGTAATTTGAGCAATAACAAACCTTATAGGGATTGATTTTCTAAATTCCTCATTTTCTTTCTCCAACCTAGGCTTTTTCAAACTTGAATGATGTTAGAACAATTGTTCTGACATCTGGTACGCTCTCTCCAATGGATTCATTTTCTTCAGAGCTCGGCGTGAAGTTTTCTATTCAGTTGGAAGCAAATCACATTATTCGCAACTCCCAGGTAAACTTTTGCCAGTTCCCTCTCCTGAGGTGCAGTGCTGGCCATCTAAAAGAAACAATAGCATGCAAATAAAAATGATGTCAAACCCATTCTGTAAGAAAAAAAAAAGAACAGACTGTTGCTTGGATTAGTGCAGTTATAAAGTGTGTTTTCAAGTGACAAAAGGGGCAATTTTTAGTACTTCCCTGGAAAAGGTGAAACCGTAGGCATAGCTGTCTTAGATCAGTTATTGCCCTTTCTCTTCCATTTTTAGGTACTGGAATTAACGCATTTAGAAATATCCCAATATTCTCCTTCATGTTTAAAATTTCATTCTTTAACCTAATGTAATTTAATCCAGTTTCTGTTGCACATTTTAGAATTAGCCTTTTAACTTTTTATTGTTATGAAATACACCAGGTTTGGGTTGGCACCGTTGGAGCAGGCCCTAACGGTCAGAAGCTGTGTGCCACGTTCCAGCACGCAGAGACATTTGCGTTCCAAGACGAGGTGGGAGCGCTTCTGCTTTCAGTGTGTCAAACAATTGGCCAAGGAATTTTGTGCTTTTTGCCATCCTATAAGGTAAGGAAATGTCAATTCGTATTCATCCTCTGAAACCACAGCTGCTCTGATTGAAAATATAAGCTGGAACCTTTTGCCTTATGCATCAACATATACACATATTTATAAAATATATGTAATAACACATTGTGATTATATCCTATTGTAATTTCTTGGATGTCTTAAAGGCTGGTGTACAAGTTTTTCAGGAAAAACACGTTCGTACTTGTTTTCAGCAGTTTCCTGTACCTTGGTTAATGTGTACAGTTGTTTTGATTGGTTTTACCATGAAAAAAACAAGAGCCAGATTGATCTGCAGTTTTTACTTAAATTGTTTCACTGAATGTTTAAATAAAAATAAAAAAAACTCAGAAAACTCTCCTCCATGTAAGTGCACATCGTGAAAGAACAGTTGATGTGTGTAACTCGGCAGCAAAAACACCTTTGCCTGCTCCTTGAATGCAGTATTCATCCAGTTAATTTCTTCATTCCTTGTTTCTTGTTCCATTTGGCTGCATTGGAGATTCTAGTATATTTTTCTTGAGTCAGGGGAATTGCTGACTGGCGTTGGCTGAAAGGAGTCAAATTTCTCAATTTCAAACTATGCGCTATCTAATTTCACTGACAACAGATATCTAATTATGGTTAATCTGTACTTCACAGGAGTTCTGCTCTCTTCTTTATTAGTTCTTATTGTTATTTGTGGTCAGCTCGGAGCAACAGGAATATGAACCTGCAATATAATTCTCTAATTCATGCCCATTTTTCTTGTAATTCTTGCAAGGGTGTGCCTTTTTAGGTTTGAAACCATGGGATTTGGTTTTAAAAAATCCTCTCAACAAGCAAAACAAAATCAAAAACCTCTCAAAACCCAAGAATCCTACAAAATGAACAAAAACCCCAACGTAGCGGAAGGTGTCAGACCGTTTCCCTCATCTCTAAGGCTCCTTAACAGAGAATATTTTAAAAAATGAAATGAAAACGATTCTCTTTTTTACAAAACCTTCATATTAATTTGATTATTTAACTGAGGAGGCTGCAGAGCGAAGCTTTTCCTAGCTCAGCGTCTATAAGGAATTGCAGTCAGTGCAATTGCTGACAGCAACCATTAGGTGACCACATTAGACCAGGAAATGTACAGCCACTGGAAAACGCAGATTACTGACTGCAAATTTATTTAAGAAAGCTCACAAAACTGTGCGCTTCTATGCAAAGTTAATTATAAGAGATTTTTACATTGGGTTTATTTAAGAATTTAAATGGGAACGTATTTCAGCTTTCAGTATCCTCACTGTTTTTTTACCGAAGTGTAGAGGGTTGAACGTGTGATTGTTGATCTTGTGTGTACGGACCCGACGAATATTTATGAAAGTTTTGTGTGAGAATGGTAATCGGAATCGAAAGTATGGAGAGACTTTGTAATGGCATTTAGTAGCGAAGGAAAGAGATCGCTAGACAGCTCTGGTCCCCTTCCCCCTCTCCCTGCCCTTCTGTTTTACTGAAAGGTCATCTAGCTAAACACGATGAGTGGGGTTTTTTTTCTTTGTGGGAACACTTCCATGATCCTAGCGAAAGTATTGATAAATATAAATTGCAGACAATTGAAGGATGATATTTTAAAATCACATTGCCAATATTTTTCTACGGATGCCCTTTTTCATTCTTCCACTTTTATGCTGGATCGAGTTGCCTTTAAGTCTGAGATTAATATGTTGAAAACGCAGCATAATGTAAGCGTAAGCATATTAGTACAGGGAAGATGAGATATTTTTCTTTCATCGTCATACAGAACGTTGCTTATCTGCACATCTGCTTTTCAAAACTGATTTTCAGAGATTTTCATGGGGAAATTGCCATGTCTGTTTAAACAACTGCAGCTTTTCAAGAAATGGTTCAAGGCTATCAAGATCTGTTTAATATACGTGGTTATGTACCTCACCAAAGGAAATATACCTCACTTTCAACACTTATGCTGCATTTTTTCACCTGTTTGGCCTGAAAACCTCTTACACAGTTATCACTATTTTGCTTTATTGCTAAATACTTGGTGAAAGTGATGGCCCCTGTATCGACACTAGAGCTTGAGAAACAAACTCTGGCAGAAATTTAAGTGATTTGTTTTGGACTTCTGAAGTGTATAATAGAAAAATATCTTGTACTCACCTAGAAGATACCAACCTCCTAGAAAGTTTCCATGTGCGAATAAATAGAGGGCAAGTAAAAATTTCTAAATGTCACCACATTAACCTAATCATAAAATGAGAAAACTGGATGCTGCTTGTAGAACATCCAAGGTGAACGTTACAAATGTCAGCAGAGCACGGTGCTGTAGGAGCTGCATTTGAGTCGCTACTCCTTCCAGTGCGAACGCGTGCAAAACGCATCCGTTAATGGTTACGGTTTGCTCTGTCAGGTAGCTTGGTCAGGTGAATTGTTTCCTGAGAGAACCTCGGTTTCTTTGAAGGAGCTGCCCACTGCCAGGAAGAGGTAGTACTCATTTGCCTGGATTTTGCTGTGAAGTGCCCCTTTTAACAATTTATAACCTGTAGAGCGTATTCGACTGTTTTGTAAAGAATTTGAAGTCCACAACATTGTAAACCTCCGTCCTTCCCTAACCATCAGTTTAAGAAAAAATACTTTATCAGGCTGAGCAGGTACTTTCTGAAGACCTTTCTACCTAACGTATGAACTGCAAAAAAAATCTGAATTAAAAATAATTCACCTCATATCTTCCTCTGTGCCCCTCCATCCCCTGTTGTGTTTTTTTCTCTTTTTGCTTTTTTTTTTTTCGTAAAAGCAGCTGTAACAGCAGGAGCTGAGTGCAGTTTTGAGGGAGAAGTCTGCCACCTTGTTATCTTATCTGTGTAATTTGGAATTACTAGATGCAGTGTGAATACAAGAAAAGCAATAGTAGAGAAACTTCCCTTTATCTTAGTCATGTATTTGAATAACCATCTTTTTCATTAAAGAATAACTATTTAAAATGTTTGTATGGCCAAAAATACATGGGCGAGAAGAAACATTGCAGCAGATACACATCACCTTTGGTACGTGTCTGTTTATGAACAGCTGGGATGCCATGTTTCACAAGCAGTGAATACGATAACATACAAATTTTTGTTGTCATTATTGGAATTCTGGCACACTGAGTTTTTGAAAAATGAGCTTTATCTTAGCACTTATGAAATTGCAAACCTGGATCATTTTTAGGGCTCCTGAACCCGGTGATACTATGCAACAAAAATTCATTTATGTGAAAATCAGTAGCAACTCTGACAAAAACACTCTATAAAAGAGAATATCAGAAGGTGAAAAGATTACTCAGAAATCTAAGATGCTTTTAAACAAGATTAAGATAAGGACCATTAGGGTTCATGTTGCCGACCTGTCTGCATTAAGATATATCTTGCCTGGTGCCTGCATCTTAGATGATTCATTCAATATGTGTCATATCAAAGTCAAGGCATCCAGCAAGGAGGAAAATGCTAATGCTTATAAATTTTAGTGGTAATCCATCATGATGAATTAACTGACCTTTCTTTAGTAGCTTTTTACAAAATAAGCTTTGGACAATAACGCTAATATTGGTGTTTTGGTTTGGTTTGCTTTTGTTATTGTGTTTTGTTTGCTGTTTTTTTTTCCGTGAGGCATTGTTGGTTAATTTTTATCTGCTAATTGTTAAGCCATAACCTGAAAGTAAAATTTTTAAAAGAACATAGCTGCTACAAAGGATTGGAATGATTCTTTTCAATAGGAAAACTTAGGAACTGAGAAGTATTCTCTGCTTGAGAATCCAAGATTTACTACTTTGTTCTTCTTCTTCTACACCCTTAAGATGTGGTTTTTTCCAGTAATTCAGATGAATCATGTTTCTTTTGTATCTGCTTTCCTTTACAGAACTTTAACTTCAGAGGTCAAATAGCAGTTTTACTCAGTAGTTGCCCGGTATTGCTGTGAATTTGTATTGGACTGTATCAAATAGTTTCACAGAGGGAAATGTCTTGGAAGAATGATGAGAATTTCAAGAAATAGTAGCCTTAAAAGACAGAAATAGTAACTGATTTGTTGTCTCTCTTGTGAACCTCTTAGAAGTGGCTGAATGATCTAAACATGCATTTTAAAAATTATTTTATACTCTATGAAGTGTTTGTCTTCACATGTCTCTCAGTCAGACACTTTTTCACGCCAGTTGTGTTACTGACAGTTGTTTGAGGTTTACATATTAGGTGCTGTATGAGTAGTTAATTACCGAAGTTAATTACAAAAGTTAATGACTACTAATGAGTAGTTAATTACAAAAGTAATGAAGGTAAAAATGGAAAAGATAATGAATACAGCATTTCTTCAGTGCTTCTTTTTGTTTGTATAATTTCCATCAAATTAATGCTTTTAGGATAGTTTAGTGGAGAATAATGCAAAAGTAGAAAAAAAAAAAGTGCAACCAAAGTTGCAAGAAAATATTTTTTTGGTCACTTTATCACTTTATTGAACCTGAGACTTAAATGTAAGGGTAAATATTTGCAACACAGTCAGCTCTAATAACAGTTAGTTGTTACTTTTCCACACAAGTATGTCACGAGTTTGACGTACAATAAATCTAAGGCCAAGCTGTTCGATATCCGGTCTTGAATATATTTGACAGGCTCAATCCTACTACTAATGAACCCTTCATCATCAATTGGCGTTGCGATGTACTGTGTTAATTAGGAAGGTGGACTATTAACATGTAGCTACAGAGTAATTAATGCTGCATTTGCTCCTTCCCTTAAGAATTTAGGGGTGAGGTTATGATGATACGTGTATATACTAACCTTTGTCACGTGCGAAAAGTAAATGTTGGATTTCGCATTTGAGTTTCTGCGTAGCTCATAATTTTAGGAGCCGCTAGTTCCGAGTTTAAGTTCTGTCAATCTCGTCCCATTTTCCTGCTTTCTTAGCTGATCACATTTTCAGCAGTGAGGACAGAGAGGGCTGGGTGACAGCAAACCCACCTGGACTGGCACCCCTCTGGGGAGGGTCTT